ACATTTTTTTTTTGAAAAAGAGAAAAATATTCTCCCATTTGATCCATATTTTTTTAAGAATTTCCTCTCAAATCTCAAATTTTTACTTTTTTTTTTTACAAATATATGGCACATCTGATACACCAAAAAAGCACTCGCCAAACAAATGCATCTTCTATAGAAGGATTTTGATAAATTTCAACCCTTCTTAATTTGCAGTCACGGGGTCAAACACGTATCGAATTTGGCATTATGCAAACAAACCAAGGTCTTTATTTTAAAAAGTGTAGACTGGGCATACAAAATTGTGTCTTGAATTGATTCACTGACAATAAGCATTTCTTGCACGCGTAAACCAGCCTCTTATCTTTTATTGGTTATATTGATAAAAACAAGAAACCAAAATCTTGGAGAACACTAAAGTTTAAAGGTAACACATATTTATCCATCCAACGCTTCCAACAACCAACAGTGAAATTATTTCATCAAAATTTCATTTTTTTTTCTTCTCGCTAAAGGTCCTTCAGCCAAAGATCTTTTTTGACCGAAGTACGAAAAGGCAATGGTATAAATGGAAAGAAACAAATGAAAGACAAAAATCACATTTTTACACCACAGTGGAATAGTGCATTAATTTCATCCTAGTTTGTTCTTATTGTTCTCGAGAATTAATCCTCGTTGAAGGGAAAAGATACCTTATTTAAGAAGCGTGCTTGATTAGTTATTGTCCATTTTTTCGGTTCTCTCAATTTTTTGTTCCTTTAGGATTAAAATAGAAGAAGGTACCTAGCCACCTACCTATAAGGAGATATGTGAAACTCGTGAAGAGGGACCAAAGCAAAAAAGAAGAAGAAAAAGAGCGTCTGAGCATGGCTAGCATTTCCTGTTTTGAATTTTCAATGGAGACTAGTCATGTGCTCATATAGCTGAGGAGCACTAATGGCTAAAGGTGACCACACGCGAATGTTTACTCATAAGTTGGCGAGAAAGGGACTTTGTTGCTTCCAACTTCCAAGACTATGGTGAAAGGAAAACTAAATATCACCATTGATATTTCAGTAGTGTGGTCCTTTCGATCATATGCTTCATGCACAAATATATTTACACGTATACTAAAGAAAAGTAGATTTGTTTTTGCTCGTGACTGCATTAATTTCAAATTAAATGTGACTCTAGAAAGATTTGATCATAAGTAATAGTCTTGATTTAGAAAGTCATGTTACAACTTATTTTACCAACTTTACTTCAAATTTAAACCTTTCACAATCCAAGAAAAGACCATTTTTCTGCCTTGAAAAAAGAGAGATGGGGGAGCGAAAATATCTTTGATACTATGGATATATTGAAAATTCGGTGTATCTTTCATTTATATTGTGATACGTATCTTATTTTTATTAAATAAATAATAAATAATTTATTTTAAAATTAGGAGAAAGAATAATTTGATAAAAAATAAGACACGTGTCATATTGTGAGTGAACTTCATCTCTAGCACCAAAGAAATTTTCTGGGGCCGGGGGGTTCACAAGATTGAGCAAATTCGAAGACACTAACACATGGGATCAATGGCTCGTGAAAGATTAATATCATGAAAACATTTGCTCTTCGGATGTTAATGCTTTCAAGTACCTTCACTTGTCTCTATAGCCTCTTATAAGTGCGTCAAGTACCCGACAATGCAAGAGAAGCCATTGATAAAATACTAAAAATGGTGAATATTTTTGTCATTGGGATATATAGCCATTCTGCCCATTTCGTCAAGATAGAAAAGACGTAGTCTATCATAACCGGTTCCCGCCAAGAAAAAAAGTGCATGGTTTTAAGAAAATTAACTAGAAGAAATGATTAATGAAAATATTGGATTATTTAAGTGTGATGAATCTCATATTAGTTGGTAATAAGTTAAGCATATAAATGGAAAAAAAGTTTATGGTGCACCTGGACCACTGTGGTCCTTCAATTGAAATTTTGACATTTGGCTTAAAAAAAATTTAATTTTTTTTCTCTCCTCTCTTATTAGCTTTTTATTTCTTTCTCACTCATCCGCCCCACTGAATATTGTGTGTTCCAGGAGAACCCATTAACCCAGGATCTGCCTGTGGCGGAAAACCACTACCAATGGGCTAAGGCAACACCACCATATCAAGTGGATCCGACATCACATCTTAATCGAAAATCTTAAAGCATTGGGTTAACGAGTCCTCTCACTTATATGTATTTCACTTAGATCATTACCAACCAATGTGAGACTCATCACACTTGAATAATCCAATAATCTCTCCCCCAAGTGTGAAATCCACCATTGATACGCTTCCCTTCAATCGAGTACTACAACCCGCCTCATAGCCAAACACCTGGCTAGCCTAGGCCCAATCCAGTTCTGATACCACTGTCACACGAGTCAAGGGAAGCTCGAGGCAAGAGTCTACCACCAATTGACTAAGTGGTCCAAATACATCAAGTAGATTCGATACCACATCTCAATCTAAAACCTCGAGGCATTAGGTTAATGAGTTCATTCACTTATATTCACTTTACTTAATCTATTATCAATTAATATGAGACTCATCACACATAAATATCGCAAGAGAAAACAACCACTGGTATATATATCATAATCCAAAAACACCAAATCACCATCAATCATCCACAGAAAATTTGTTTATGTATTCATTCTCTTTATAATATTAAATTTGATTCATGAGAAGTTCAAATCATATATCACATTAAATTTGATTCACGAGAACTTCAAATCATATATTGTCATCATTAAGAGCGTAGATTATGTCATGGGTGAAATCAACTTTTGTTTGTTTGTTTGTTTTTTTATTGTGATACACTTCTATTTGGCTTCATGATGAGCGGATGATAACATTTCCCATTGCTTAAAATGAATACATGATGACTGGACCAGTTCAATAACTGTACGATTTGGTTAATTTGAACTTGATCTTTATCCGGTGTTGTCATTAGCTAGTGATGACTCTAGAGTTTTTTAGTTTCGTGGTTTTGTACCCTAAATCCTGAACCAGAAAATAAAAATAAAAATAAATGTTGATAGTTCATTTAACATATGAGAACTGAGTATGTGAACATGAAAACATAAAATATTTATTTGATCATTTTTAGTATTATTTTTAAAAAAATTTAAAATCTTAATTCTAATTTTGTTTCGAACTTCAAATTAATCAATCAGACCTTATTAAATTATTGAAAGATATTTTAAAAAGTATATTGATTATTCTGTAACATGCCGTACTTGAGAAAAAGAAAAGATTTATGATTTAAGGGCCTGTTTGGTGTGATGTATAAGATCTGATAGTATAAGCTTATACTATACGTTATGACATTTTCAGTTGTTTGGTGTGACCATCGTATAGTATAAGCTTATACAGCAGGATCCCTTTATACATCAAAATGATGTATAACTTAATCCAGCCTAGGAGTGGTGGATTAGGCCTGATAAAGGGTTGATGTATTAATATTGCTTACAAGTACAATTCCTAAGAGCTAATATATCATTTCAATATTTATATATTAAAATAATTTTTTTTAATATATTAATTTTTAAAATATTGAAGGATATTATCTTATACAATATCATACCAAACGCTGGATAGTATTAAAATTTAATCAGATCTTATACAATCAGGTCTTATACTATCAGGTCTTATACTATCAAGCCTTATCCTATACTATGCACCAAACATGCTAACTGATTCATATATAAAGGGATTAGGTCTTTATCGGAAAAATAAAAGGTACAACTTCTTCAGCTTCGAAAAGAGCAAAGACTTCCAAATAAAAATTTATAAAAAATTATTATATAAAATAGAATGAAAAAGTGATGATATACCAAAACATGTGTCACGTACTAACAAAGAGCCAACCTAACAAACTTCTAATACTTAGATGCAACACCTGAAAACAAAATTTTGAAGTATAAAAAAAGTGATTATTGTGACTTGAATTTACTATTTTTTTAAATAATTTTCAATCATTTTAACCGTCTGGACTAATCTCAGTATGGTGTCCATTGTCCAATATCCAGAGAGACATTTCATAAACTGGAGCGGTGATGCAATAAATATCGATTTTAACATAAACTTAGTCTTTCCGCTGAAAATAATTTGTAAGTAATTATAGAAGCAACTTTGCATTTTCCATCATAAATGCAAAGTAGTTTACCTGAACCATTACTTTAATTTCACATGGCTAATTATATCTACTCGTACCAATAGTAGCGCACTCAGAAAATGACATAAATATTGGGGTGAAGTGACCATTTTTTTCTTTCATTTAAAAACAAGGATTTGTTTGAACATTGAAGTTAATATGGTCAAAGGAGTAAAAAATTAGTGAGAAAAATAAATAAACAAACAAAAAAAATTAAAATATTACAAAAATATTTTATGACATCACATATTGAAGTAAAAGGCATGGAACAACATCTCTCACTTCATTAGAGGGGACTAAGAAAGATAGTTAATTCACATGGCATGCTTAGCAACTTTGATTACTATTACATTTGTTGCAAACATGGGTCTCCAATGGCAATTAGCTAAATTAACCAAATTCAAATCTAATTAAATTGAGAGGATAAAAGTGTGATTCCAGTTTAATCCATATTTGGTTCTCTTGACATGTTAAATTTTCTTGTCATTTATATCTTGAAAAGTGAAGATATATTATGCAAAGCATTTAAGTCCTATCAAATCAAATGATGATAGTTCAGTTTAACATATTAAAATTGAATAAGTGAGGTAAGAGCATGAATTTGATCCTCTCAAGTATTATTATTAAAAAAAAATTAAAGTCTTAATCCTATACCACCACAAAAGATAATTATCTATGGTCAAAGATACATGTTGGTTTATCAAAAAAATAAAATAAATAAAATAAAGCATTTAAGTCCCTTTAACGATATCTTCCAAGTACAGTACATGGCTCTTCTTCACGCTATAACCTTGAACTAAGAAAACCTGCGCGTGTCTCTCTATGTTTGTGACACTCAGAAACATATTTATTTCACTTGTCCTCTGCTCTGCATGAAACAGAGTCCTCTGTTGGATATTCATTGCAATGAGGTTTATTCGAACAAACAGCTTGAAGAGGCTCTTTTCCTTGAGAAGACGGGGTTTGGAGGAACAAGTTCTCAGCCCGAACGGTTCAACTTGTGAAGAAAACAATGAGAGCTTGAAGATTCTTCCTTATGAAGAACCTTCTGAAAGACCCACTTGGAAATGCTTCTCTTATGAAGAATTGTTTGATGCAACCAGTGGCTTCAGCTCAGGTGATTGAGTCTTGTTTTTTAAAATCATTAGTATCTTTTCTTTTCTTCTTTTTAGTTTTGGGGAATGAAAGTTGATTTTTTTTTTTAATTTTTTTTTTTTTTGTGACAGAAAATATGGTTGGAAAAGGAGGCTATGCTGAGGTTTACAAGGGAACACTGAAAGATGGTGAGGAAATTGCTGTGAAGAGGCTCACAAGAACTTGCAGAGATGAGAGGAAAGAGAAAGAGTTTTTAACAGAAATTGGAACAATTGGTCATGTTCGCCATTCCAACGTATTGCCTCTTCTGGGGTGTTGTATTGACAATGGTCTTTACCTCGTTTTTGAGCTATCCTCTAAAGGTTCTGTTGCATCTGTTCTACATGGTACTTAAAAAACTGAAATCTCTTATTTTTCTCATAAAAACTGAAGTTTTGGCTTCAAAAGTACTTGTCATGTCATCTGGGTTTGCAGAAAAGAAAAAAGAGGGTCTTAATATTATATGAATCTTGTTGTAGATGAAAAATTGACTCCAATGGATTGGAAAACAAGGCATAAAATAGCTCTTGGGACTGCACGTGGCCTCCACTACTTGCACAAAGGCTGCAAGAGGAGGATAATCCACCGGGACATCAAGGCATCAAACATTCTATTGACACTAGATTTTGAACCACAGGTCCTTTCAATCTGCAATTTTTTTTATTTTATTTTTTTACTATTTGACTTGAATCAATGTTTCAAACACAGTGCTTTTGATGGATTATTTTTATGAAAGGTTATATGTTTTGATTGTATCAGATATCTGATTTTGGACTAGCAAAGTGGCTTCCATCTCAATGGACTCATCATTCAATTGCCCCAATAGAAGGGACATTTGGGTACTAACTATTCTTTTCCATGATCCTTCAGTCATAGCTATCAATATGTTATATTTTTCAAAAAAGGAAAAGAAAAAAATCTGGTTTGAAAATGGAAATACTCTCTATCTTTTGCAGGCACTTGGCCCCTGAGTACTACTTGCATGGAGTTGTTGATGAGAAGACAGATGTATTTGCCTTTGGTGTGTTCTTGCTAGAAGTCATCTCTGGGAGGAAACCGGTTGATGGGTCTCACCAAAGCTTACACAGCTGGGTAAGTAGCCCCCTTTTTAGTTTTGCATCTTTGTTCTTTTATGAACTTGGCATATTCCATTGGAAATATCTTGTTTGGTTTCTTCTTAGTCTTGGGCTACACTAATGGTGGCTTTTAACATTGATTAGTTTATTTAAACATTTTTTTTATGTATTAACTATTTATTCTGAATTAACAGGCTAAACCAATTTTGAACAAGGGTGAGATAGAACAGCTGGTAGATCCTAGGCTTGAAGGGGCTTATGATGTGACACAGTTAAAAAGACTTGCCTTTGCTGCCTCTCTCTGCATCAGGGCATCTTCAACTTGGAGACCTACCATGAGCGAGGTAACTTTCACTTGTTTCTTGTCTTACACTACTTCTTCAAATAAATAATATGTTAATTTATTTATTTGGTTGGCTCAGTCCTTTTTACTATATAGTAAAAGCCCCCAAGCCATCATGGGATTTAACCCTGGATTCTCAGGCTCTACTTCTTATAGGATCAATGCTAGCAAGGGTAGTTAGATATTGAATATTGATTTCTTATTGGTTACTCTTTTCTCATAATAGAATAACTTCGTGACTGGAAAATTAGCCATCCATTTCTTTCCATCTATTTTCTCCTTCCCAAGCAAACTATTACCAACTACATTTTGGTCATCAGAATAGAACAATAAAATGACTGGTATAACCACCATGATATTGCACAAGTTATACACATTTGATGTATAGGAAACTATATTCTGTCCATTGATACGTAGAACAGATTGCGACTCGTCCACTTGGCATTTTTTATCCCATTGCTTAGGGATATTTTATTTATACTTGATATTTTATGTCCCATGTTAGCAATGCTTTCAAGTATTAATACTTCTATGCAAAAAAGAATAGATGACTGCTTTTAATAACAGCTTAATAAAAATATATGTGATTTTGTGGAAATAGTTATCTAATTAGACATATGCATGTTGTTAGTGGATCAAAGGTTTCAACAAAACTTCTTTTAATATTGATTCTTTTTATATTAATGAGTTTTCTCAATGGCACATTTTATTTTTTGAGCTGATTTCACACTCGCAAGCTTTGTCAATTTGTCATATTATCTATTAGCATTTGTGGCGTGTTCACTAATCCAATTATTAATTCTTCTTAGCCTGTTGTCAAGTTACAAATAAACTATTATATTAAGATCAGTAATCGAAATTTCTAAAAAAAAAATACCATACTGTCGGCTATCATTTTATTTAATAATGATGGCCTTGCTTAGATGACTTTACTCATCGTTTTCAGCAGTCAGAAATCTGATGTAGGAATTAGATTCATTCAAAATTTTCATAATTTCATTGGCGGCCTTTTATTTTTCTCATGCAAATTGATTAATCAGTTGATGTTCTGTCTTACCTAATTTTAACCTTTATGCTAATATGACAACAGATAATAAATAGGGCAGTCTCATAATATTATTTTTTGTCATTCATATATATATAAATGGTAAATAATTAAAAATTAAAATTATTAAAAATAAATATAAAATATAATGCAATAGTAAAGAATGTGTTAAAAAAAATTATATATTATTAAGCTAACAAAGTGGTGCGTAGGTTCTGTCCGGTTCCATGTGTCACCCTTGTGTGCTGATTTAGACCTTTTATCGTTCAAAGAGGTGAAAGACATTCAATTCATTTGGGATTGTGGGGCCTCTTGTTCTTTCTTGTTGTGGTTCACGCAAAGCAAATAATGATTGACACTATGCACATAATGGTCAGAAAAATCTTAGCATATATAGATAATGTACAACAGTGACTTCAATTAATTGTTCCATGGTTTGAAATAATTTCTTCTAGGTTGTCTTTACATGTTAATAAAATAGTCTTTTAATATTTTTGTTTGTTTTCATTGAAAGGTATTAGAGATAATGGAGGAGGGAGAGATTGATAAAGAGAAGTGGAAAATGCCAGAGGAAGAAGAAGAGCAAGAGGAAGAGTTTTGGGGTTTTGAGGATCTGGAATATGAATTTGACAGTTCCTTTTCAATGTCTTTGCCTGACTCCACTGGAAGTACTTAGGATAAAGGAGTTAGATGCTGCTTTCAATTACCTGTATATATATATATATACATGTTTCAAAGATAAAGGTTGAGAGGAGGCTCTTGTGGCTGTGCTACTCCTTTATAACCAATCTTTATAACAAAAATGTTTTCTTTTGTTTTTTGTTTTTGTGGATGTGAAATATTTATCATAATAGAACTTTTTATGTCGGCAACTCCAGAGGAAAATGAAACAGCAAGGTTGTGTTACCGACCTAATCATCATTCACTGATAAACACGTTATGTTAAACAAGGCGCATATGATTGGTTCCAAAAGGTCCACTCTAATGCAATTTTTCCACATGATGTGAACTATATAAGAGTTTTTGGATACAGACAATGGAAATAAATTGTTTATACTGATGGCTCATACTTTTCAAGCTCACTTTGCAATGTTTCTGGTTATTATAGGACTGACTTACGTAGAGAATTTGTCTTTACATAAGGAACAAGAAAAAAACATCATCTCATGTTTCTTTCTTTTTCTTTTCATTACCATGTCATGCAATTCACTAGAAAAAACTTGAAAACTTTTCAGAGAATGTAATAAATTTTTAAAAATATATAATAAAAATTATTCAAGCGCTTTCACATATTAAGAATTAATTCTTAACAAAGAAGTGAATTTCAATTCTAAATAGAAGGCTCAAAATATAAGCATAATATAATAAGGGAAAAATGTTTCTGCAGTTAATCCAGATAAGTTATCTGCATTTATTCTTAAAACGACGTCGTTTTGGTATTGAAATCTTAAAAAATTATAAATAAAAAGACTATTATAACCCTGAAATAAATTAAAATTACAAAAACACCATGATTTTCGCCCTAAAACAACGTCGTATTGGCTTACTGCAGATAATTTATCTGCATTAACTACAGAAAAAACGAACCCAAATTGGAAAAAAAGTATCTAATGTTACTTTAGACAATTTTGTCTAATGTTCATCGAAACGACGTCGTTTTTGGTTGAAAAATTAAAAAATTAGAATGATAAAGACTATTATAACCCTAAAATAAATTAAAATTACAAAAATACCATGATTTCCATCCAAAAGCGACGTCGTTTCGATGAACATTAGATAAAGTTATCTAAAGTAACTTTAGAAAAAACAAACCTAACAAAATTTATCTGAGGTTTCAAAATATCTCATTTCAGCTTTTTCATATACATTACACGTGATATATATGCAAAGTCTCAAAATAATTTCATTGCTTTTGGCAATTTCATCTTAATTTGCTTTATTTCAATTACATTATTTTTCTTATATGTCTTCTATAATGTTATCTTTAAGAGGGGAAATGCTACCATTATATTTTAATAGTATTATTTTGTTACTTAATAATAATGAATTTTGATGGAATAAACTCTGAACTTGTAAACTACAAGGAGCTTAGTTTCTCATAGCCAAGAAATCTTCTCGAGGATGAATGTATTTTTAATGATAGGCGTAATAGAGCATAATAATAATAATAACTAAGCAACAAGAAATTTCATGGATTTATAGGCTGTCATGCAAGTTGCCATATGCACTATGCCATTATCCACTATTTGGAAATTATAAGGCCCAGTAGAGCTGTCATGTACTTCTGAATGCATGTGACCTTACTTTACTCATTTTCATGCATATATTCAGAACCAAGTCTTTAGACAGGTAGAGCTTAATATATTAATATTCAGGTTAAAAGAACCCTTGTGGACTTGTGGTTCTGTTACATATGCTTTTTGTTTTTAATCACGGTAATTTATTTACATAGGTGAGGGGCTTCTTTGTTTTTGTAGGTAGGCAAGATAGCGGGTAAAATAACTTATTTGGTCTTATTTTTTTTAAAGTGGACTCTGCTTGGGAAAAAAATAAAATGGGTGAATAATGATACTTCTAGTTTATTTTTAGTTGATATGTTTTTATTCATAATTATAAAAAAAAAAATCACTCTTGTTTTTATATTATATTTTATTTCTGGTGGAAACAAGTTTTTATTGTTCTCACTATCTCTTTTATAAATTCATAAAAATAAGAAACAAAACTAAAAAATAAAAAATAAGCCAAAAGGTGACTTAGATGATGTTATGTGTACACATTATATCTTAACAAGAACCATAATTGGATAATAGATAGTATTAAATAAATAAAAGTGGTCCAACGACAGTTAATGCGTTCTTAGGAACATAGATTCTATTCCAAATTATATACTTTCGGTAATCGCAATTTATTATTGTGAATATCTTCTATTAAACAGTTAAAATGAGTTAATGGTCAAGGGTATGAATAAATTCGCATGAGATAGTCATTGTGCCAAAAACAAATTGAATTTATGATATATTTATCTCCAAAACGTCATGCAAAACACTAAGAATATTATTAATCAGACAACTTTATTTTTACATAAAAAAAAGAAGATTAAAAATGAAAAATATAAGCAGATAACCATAAAGTAGTGGTAGTTGATAATGTGGTAGACCTTTTCGGACGGCAAATGTTGCTTCAAAGTTGATTTGATTCATCAAACGATTGCATTTATGGTCTGTGTTAGTTGAACGCTGCCCAAACAGCCCAAAAAGTTGCTAAGGAAGTAGGAGATTGAACCTTGAACTTGTTAAGCTTAAAAAAGACTTGGAGGAAAAAATGGTGTAACTACAAAGATAAGGCAAAGAAGGAAAAGTTTAATATTGCTTGACATTGTATACTATAGGTTATTATCTTCGTGGTAGTTGACATTGGAGAAAAATGTACTTATCAGTTGAAGCCTGTAATTGTCAAAACATAGGGCCATAGGCTTACGTACTTTGTTGCAGAGCTTCTAATATAGCTTGTATTAACAATTACCTAGCAGATAGGGCTGTCCAAGAAAGACTTCTACATACTAAACACAAACACAGAAAATCAACTTCCTGATTTAAGAAAGCAATTAATCATCTAATGCCAACAAATTACAATATTTTTTACGTGAATTATTGTTTCTCCGAGTAGCAATTCTAAATAAAATAAAATTATCATCAAAGAGGAGGTTAGTCAAGAAAAGCAAAGTGTTTCAAGAGTTTGCACTTTAAACATATGTCTTTTCATGATCACAGGGTCACTCAGAAATTCCTAAGCTAGCCTACAATAGGCAAATTTCTTTGGTGCTACGGTTGCACGGTAAATTCGGTACATCTTTCACTTATATTGTGATACGCGTCTTATATTTGTCAAATCAATAATAAATAATTTATTTTAAAATTAGGAGAGAGAGTAATTTGATATAAAGTAAGACATGTGTCACAATATAAATCTGTAGTACCAAAAATATTCTCCTACAATAGCCTAGATGATGTGATGTGCATCTCATTTCCTGGTCCCTTATAGTTTTATAGAAGGGCAAGCCTCAATCTCACAAATACCAAAATGAATATATAATTCATGGATTTTATTAATCTCATATTAAAGGAAATAAGTTATCTGATATTATAGAAATAAATTTATGGGCTTCACTATCTGGAAAAAAAAAATGACACAGTTATCCAACGGTATGTATGAGGAAAACCTTATCTCACGTAATATGAGAATAATTTTACCCATAACTCATTCACAAATCAAAGTGATAACTTGCGCTGAACAAACAGGGCTAAGGTAAGCCAACGAGTGCCCATATATATATGAGGGCAACTCTCCAAGGAGTAGGTGACCAAGACAGCCAATCAGATTGGTGTTAGCACATTGATATCAATTTCTGACCCGTTTTCTGGGAACCACAGGTGCCCTTGTCCAATGAATTAAATCAGTGTCTTAATGTCCTTGACAGCCATTTGCTATATCAGTTAGGTGGTCCTCTCCTACCTTTGCACTTTCTGTGGCTCGATCTTTATGATACATCCAGACACCAGGACGTGACTTTATTTTATTAATACCCTCTAGCTGTTGTCATACATGCTTCAAATCTTTTTTATGAAAAAAAAAAAAAAAAACATTGGGATAGCTTCATATCTGACCAACTAAAAGACAAATTAGACAGAGAAAATAGAAATTAGTTAAAAATGAATAAGTAGTTGTAAAGAAGGCAAAAACCAATTAGTCACTATATATTTAAGATCACGATTCACAATACTGTTACATATGAACTGTAGCTTCCATAGTATTCACTTGTATACTGCATAGACTCTCCCATTGCTTACAAGCCTACAAGATTGCTACATTGCAACCTTATTTCCCATAACATGATTTTGAAAACTTTTCACTCAACTACATTCATCACTGTCAAAAATTTCCTGTTCATCCAAGAAGTGATAACTAAAGAATATATACCTAAAAATAATTAGCAAGGCTAAATCTGGGGGGAGGCGGATCTTTCAGGGATACTGAGCCATCTGACCAACCCCTTAAAACTGAAATCTTTTGTTGACCAATCTCTTCCTGCATCAGCTAACTTGACAAACAGTTACCATCATATGTCAAAATACAAAATTGCTGATGTCAGACCAACCTGCAGCAGCTAGTAGGTAGTGTTTACACCAGTCACAGAGGGAACTAGAAATAGAACTGCCTCAACTTGAAGCCCAATCCTTATGGCCACTTGAGCTCTGCTGACAGGAAATGGTTTCAAAGTAACAAATATCATCCCTTGAACAGAGTTCCATGTATGTAGTATGTCATTCTACCATGGCTGTCCTTTTCTCCAGTAGGGACTCCAAAAATTCTGAACACAATTTGGTGAGGGGTGGCAACATATGCGATGACCCACTAAATATGGTTTCCCAAGGCCTCTCTGATGCAGAGGAGAGAACTGACGAAGCCTTGTTCCTTTTCAAATCAATCTTGGGTAACTCTCCATAAATTGTCGTGTATCCAAATTGTCCTGAAAAAATGGAGAATAGGAAAACTGAAAAACTAATCTTATACATGCATATAAGTAGAAGGTATTGAACTTATGACCTCTTCCATATATGTAGGGAAACAGTATAAAACATGAACTAAACATTATAGATGAAGCAGTACAGTCATCCCACCTGTTTCTTCAGGCGCAAGAAGATCATCCTGAGTAGTCATACTAAGCTCACAGGCTTCTTTGCCATACGGATCAAAGAGGACATACTCATGATCTCCATTTATATATGCAAGAAGTGTCTGAGATGGTTTTCCATCAATAACTGCTACTTCAGATGGATCTCCTTTCAGAAAAGCAAGGCCTCCTCCCTTGGCCTGAACGAAAAGAGTAAGACAGAGAGAAGAAACAGCCACACACTGTAAATCTTCTTCCACATTAAGGAATTCATGCAGGCTAAAAATTTAAATAAAAAGTCAATTTTGGAAGATATTTCTCATTGCAACTCGAAAACAATCTTAAGTATCATGTATTTGTATTAGATATTATCATACATCCCAAAATGTTGCCAATAGTGGAGGGGAAACAGAATCAAAATTTAATTTAGTTTCCATCTCAAAAGACAATGTGCAATACTAAATTGAACTTATTTCTTTATTGCAGTTGACATAAGATATTTAACAAGTTTGGCTCCAACAGTTCTTTTCCTGTAACCTTTTTTCTTTTGTACCCAGTATTTATTTCAACTTGGACTGAGAGGATGAAGTATGAATAGTTCAATGTGACTCACACTACTGTATTCACATTGAATATAACTTCAGTCAGTAACCTTTAATCTATGTGTCACAAACACTTCACAAGAAAGGAGTTGTCCCCTTTGTCATACATGATGCAACACAACGAAAAGCATGTGGACACTTCAAATTTTTGTGCGTCTCGTGTCATGTAAGGTGTCAATTCTTCTTAGCTTTAAATATGTTAGTGAAAGTTTAAGAAATAAAAATGCAATAAAAAATTACAATCCTTCGCCTTTCTTAGTTAAATAAAGATATGCAAAACAGACTTCCTAAGAGTGCTAGCAATGTGCTTTTAAAAACCAATCTAGATGCTTGTAGTTGATAGCTCAATTGGTGGCCTATAGTCCAATTTTGTAATAAAGACAGAATTTTGGAAAGAAACATTACCTTTGTTACAGACCAGGAAGCCACAGGAATGGGATCTGTTACGTTGAATAATAAGATCATTCCATCACCTCTAAATGTATGTTCATTTGATCCAGGAAGGAGAGCAAGGATAGCAAAATATGATAAATCCATTGCACAGGAGACAGCTGCACGAATATGCATAAAAATTCTGTCAGATCAAACACTATTCCCGTTCACGGAGTCATTGGTTTAGAAACAAGGAGTATCCACGGATATGCAAAGAACAAAAGTGAAAAATATCAACCCCAGCATTTAGACATGTGCTAATGATTGCAACACTGACAGGCTATAAACTTGAATGGCATGCATTTTCCAAAATTGAAATTACAAGAGACAATAAAATCATTGAGTATAGTAGAAATTATCATAGAGAAAATATTGAGTCTTTAGACCTTCAATTTGAATTCTGTATGACCAAGATGCAGCTAGCTTTGACATACTCCAAACAGAAAGCTGCGGTTTTGAACCACGAGATACAGACAGAAGATACTCTGACTTTCCAGCAAAGACGAGGTTCACAATTGGCTGCAAAAAAGAAAGAAAAAAAGAGAAAGAAAGAAATTTAAAAAAATAAGAGAAAAGGGGGAAATGAGTACAGGTGCAAATTAATGAATCCTAAAATTAAGAACCCATAATCAACACCATATCAGGCATGTACGCTAGAATACAACAGAAAGAAATCATATTGTTGTGCAGTGTTTTCTTTCTTCTTTGTTTTTCTGTGGGAAACCGTAATTGATGCAAATATGGTATCGGGAAGATGAACCATCATGATTAGTAATTAATAGACATAGTGGTGCACTAGGAATTAAAAATGCATTGAAAATAATCATCTAGGAGAGTAAACGTCTCTTGCAAATATTAAATGCATTTATTCTTTGTATATAAATAGATGAAGAGTGCTTGGTTAGAATAAAACCAAGCATTTCAGTCAAACATTGCAAGCATTCTCTCTTGTTCACAATATTCTATTTTCTTCGCATTTTCTTTTCTTACTCTCTCTGTCCTGTATTTTGATGCTTTGATGCATGCTGTCAAATAAGGACCCAATAATCACAGGCTTTTCTGCCTCCAACAAGTAGCCTTAAATCCTCATGCAAACTCCAGAAACTAATCACGCAAGTGCCGGCAAATAAACTTCACAAGTCTCTGGGTTAGGGGTTAGCATGTCTTATTTGTTAAAATGGAACACATTTAACAATATAGTGTTTTACTATGAGGAAACATTTAAAAATAAAATAAAATAGATGAGTAGGGTTCAAGAAAATTACCGTAGTTGTCTCTCCTACTACAGCCATGAGCACATTCTTATCAGGGTCCCACAATGTAATAACAGTGTCTGCTGCAACTGCCAGTACGGAACCATCAGCTGAGAAAGCAGCAGCTCTCATTGCTTTATTTCTGCAAAGGAAATGATGCATCAACATGAGAACGAGTTAGTCATATCATCAACTTAACATAATCTCAAACAGAAGCAATCAGCAGTCACATCATTTTTTGCTTGTCCCGCCTAAGATTAAATGTACATTCTTCATTTATGAACATAAGTAATCTTACTGAAGAGTAGCAAAGGTACAATGCCAACAAACAAAATAATAAATAAAATACAACATCTGCAGCCAATTAAGAGGGTTCAGCAAGGGATCTGGAAAATTCAAAGAAGAGAACTTCACACCACCAGTAATCCTCTTTCTTTTTTTTCAAATAAAATCTAGCAGAAAGACTTTGTTCTTATCTCATATCCACAATCTGTTACCCTTTGATTATTTAGATGACAACTAACTACCTTGTTCAATAAAGTTATTCCACTTTATTACAAACCAACAAGTAAGAGGTGACTTGGGGTTGGTGCACCTTGCATTTTAACATCTATAGCCTACACAAGCAAATATTAGTTCTAAGAATTAATGTAGGATTGTATACTTGTATGACCCAACAGCATGGCACATCCAACCAGAATTCTGAAGCATCTGGCCATTCTGCTGAATATCTTCTTTGCAGACCCAAATCTGAAACATGAAAAAGAATAAATAATTGTCACCAGAAAAAAAATTCCTAAGCATGAATAACAACAATTTATCTAAACATACCTTGAAATCTCCACCATAAGATGAGCTGACAGCCATATGACGGGTTGGATGAAAAGCAACCGCAGAAATATGAGCATCCCTATCAACAAGTAGAAATGTGTCAACCACACCCCTTCTAACATATATTCTTGAAATTATAGGGATTTAGGTAGAGAAAGAAGAAAGAGAGAAAAATAGAGAGTAAAGAATCTAAAATTGCTATTGATTTGATGTGATATGATACAAAAGACAAAGCATAAACCTATTTTTATACTCGTATCAGACTCCTAACCTTCATCAAATAAGGAAATATCATAATAAAACATGGAAACTAGTCCTAGGAGATCATCCAATATCCTTTAAAATATTCTAAGATACAATAATGATATTATGAGATATTTTCTAGATATTCTAACACTTCCCTCAAGCCAAAGCTTATTACAAATGAACCATACAAAGAAAATAATAAAAATCTAGGCTCCACAAAACATGTCTGGAAAAGCAAATCAGGGATGTTGTAGAAATTGGAAAGATGAGCATTGTCGGAAGGATAATTCATCAAGATGGCTGAAATGATCATTAGTTTGAAGAGATAGTTGGAATGTTGCATGAACAAGGAAGAAAAGACTTTGCCAGAATGATAATCAACAGAAATCTCCTAACAAGCCAATTATAGAAAGCAAGAATTAAAATTTATCCTCCAAGTTCATCTGATACCATGTAAAGAACCAATTCAACCCAAAACCTTAAGGTGTTGGGTGAAGGCCATTTTAATGGTTTATATTATTCTCTAACAGTCCTCTATTCAGATCGGCCTTTACTTCGTTCAGCAGAGATTATTTGGGTCGCGGCCTTCATTTCGTTCTTCTCAGATCCATCTGTTTGCATGATGTAGCGGCGCAACAGCGCTGCTATTCAGCCGCAATAGCGGCTGCAACAGCTGGCCGCCGCACCGCGAGGCAACCCCGCTAAAGCAGCGCTATTCACAAGCATGATTATGAGATATTTCCTAAATATTCTAACATCTAAAGCCACCACACACCTAACATTCAGCTAGAGAGGGAGAAGCACTATTCTGGAAATGCTATGAGATAGTAGAAAAAAGCAACCACAATACTGAACACCTGAATAAGTCATACTATTCTATTAACTACCTACATTAAGTAGGCACACCGGGACTAAAAATATAACCATTATATAGCTTCTCAGATTTATTTAATTTTCTAGCTAAAAAAATCCATGGACATACCTGTGAGGTTCATAAATAAGGGTGGATACTGAAAATTTTTTGCTATCTGAATCTAAATCCCAAAATTTCAAACAAACAAGACCTCCTATTCCTTCTTCAGGAAGCTTGACTTCAACAGTACTCATCATAGAACCATCAACAGACAGCTCCACCAAGGTCACTACCACCTATAACCACAATATACCATGACAAAAATTTAATCATCAATCAAATGCTTAATAAGTTGAGACTAGATGTGAGAATACTTTTAAGCAAGATTGTCTACATATCATATTAACTTCACATACCGTGACCTCATCAACTGGTTGATGGTTTCTTTCAAAGACTTGAACCTGCAAAAAACAGATGTCAACATTTTACATCCCATGTGTTTAATGTTAAGGCTGCTATCACACCTAAAAAGTAATTATAAGTCATGCTGTAAACAACAGACCAAACACCAAAACAATATAACTTATATTAAAACACAATGAAATACATCAGAAGATTGTTGAGAAATTAGTCTATATGGACTGTAATCTCATCATATCAAAAAATACAGGGGTAAATGGACCAAGGGAGAAAAGAGGAAGAAATGAAGATCCTCAATACAACCAAAAATAAAGTTTATCCCTATTCTGCACCCACGTATATAGAGGTAGAGGCAAGAAGGTATCTTTTATTCCAATACTAGGTTTATAACTTAAATTAATTGTATCTAAAATTAGTGATAACTGATAACTTCCCTTACACTAAAAAGGAAATATCCCAACTTCAGTTTTTTTTTTTTTTTTTTTTTTGGAGGGAGGGGGGGGGGGGGGGGGGGTTGGTCAACCCATTTCAAAGAAACTTGAAGAAAAAGCTATTACCTCATAAAGTCCCCGATTAGCAAACAAGCTGTAGAACTGGATGCCATAGTTCTCTGTTGGTACAGCCACTAAACCAGAAGTGCAGTCAAAGGCAGCTCGGCTAGAAAGAATTTCACATATTTCTTGACATGACAAAGGAGGCTGAAAACAAAAAGCATAATGCAAAGGTTATATCAAGCTCCAGCAAACGCAAGTTTTATGCAAGCAACCAGAAAATGTATTATATATTGATATAAAATGAATAAAAAACAAATTCATTTTGTCATTTTTCTTACAGGATTTTTTCCTTTAACATAAATGTTCTTATATTTTCTCAGTACAGTTTAACGTGGAAATGAATTATAAAAAATTCACCACATCAAAATCAATAGTTTGTTTAAAATGGTCATTATTTTGCAAGTTTGCAAGCCTAAATTAAAGACAAATCTTATAATAATGGTCAATAATTTATTTTTCTAAAGAATCAAATAATGTCTAAAATGTAGTCAAATAATCAACATGAGAGGCTTTTCAATGAATTAGGAATAATATTAGGGACACACTGAGCCGAAAAACAAGAAAAAGAAGAGAACAAATATAGGAACTAACCTTGATCCCTGATATAGACCTCATTATTTCCATTGAAGGGGTCTTTAAAATATGAATTTGATTATCTGTACAAGATATCTGCAGACCCTTAATTAGTTAGACAGTATAATGAGCTAGTTTGATGTCAGGACAGAGCAAGAGAAGTCTAAGTTCTAACTATATGTTTGACTTCACATAGGTAATCCTTACCGAGGAAAGTGAGGGATCTGGAGAATCTATGAAATACAGAAGCGGTGATCCAATTCTTGGTAAAAATTTCTTGTTTCCGGTGTCGAACTGCCAAAGCACAAGAACTCCTTCCTCCCCACCTAATATATAACAAAGCAATAGAAACAAAATATTATATTGCTCAACAGAGCATAGAGAATTTCAAAGCGTGCATATAAGATATACACATTAGTATTACTCAAACAGTTTTAAGGGTAACTTGAAACTGTAAAGACAATTACTAAGTAGATCATTAAAAAAAGCCTAATTGTAGCAGATATTTCACATATGAGCCATTGAATAACATAGGGCACGCCACATCTGACACACAAGAAATTAGAGTCCACTTAAGATTATTGGAAAAGTTTTCTAACTAAACAACATGCAAAAGAATTATATTCAAAACTACTTAATTCTGGCTTCGCAGACACCCAAATCCCTAGTTCGGTGACTTTTACAATTTATTTCAGGCAATATAGTTTACCTGAGTACAGGTAGGCTCCATCTGAAGAGAAAGATAGAAGCCTCACTCCAGCAGAGTGCCAATGCCATGTGACGCATGATTCAGCGTCATCATTTTCCCTTACCCCACCCTTATCTTCCCCATCGTTCATTGATCTTCCGTTCACTAGTCCACTACTATCCAGAAACTTCTGAGTACCAAATCCTCTCCAAATTAAAATTCTTCCAGTTACATCACCTGCAGCCACTATTCTCTCTGTTGGATGGAATGCAAGAACTGTAAAGGTCTTTGTATGATGCAGGACAATCTTCTTGGACACAGTAGAGTCAGAGTCGGTTTTAGGAACTTTCCATATATGAAGTTTGCGTTTGTCTTTTATGCCAAAAAAATTTCCCGAGGGACTAATGGTCAAAGATTCTGGTCGTTTAGTCTGTCAAAAGGAGAGAAAACATATGAGCACTTAAGCAACAACAACAGATAATATTTAAATTGTATTCTCATATATGTTGGCAACGTACTAGTATGAACAGAAATCAAATTAATTCTGTTCTGGTTAGAGGAAATATAAATATAAATAGACATTGCTTTAGAAGTCACCATCTTTAGGGATTTTTCAAATTATAAAGTTTGAGTAAAAAATATAAAACAAGCAGTCCAAATGAGATCATGCCTGGCTATTGCTCTCTCAATCCCTGTACACCCGCTCTTTGTGGGATTAGGTACTCAACAAAAATGACCCTAATTATATTCTAACGTGTTTTGCAATAAACGTAGATAACAAAACTGAATACACTGCAAAAACAACAAAACAAGCTGTGTATATCTAGCAAATACATAGGAATGCCCATGACTGATTGAAAACTGGAAAAAAATGTTCTTGTTGAGTTTGAATTCCACATAATTTAAGCTTTTGTTCAATATCCATGACATGTAAGAAGCTGATATAGTCATAATTCATAATGTTATCACATTAACCAAGGATCCATTAAGAAGTAACACCAACATAAGCAATCAGGGTCAGTGAGAATCAAAGGATGGGTTGCAGGCAATGCTTAAGTGCTTAACAATTTCAGCACATATAGGTTTTCAAACCTGTCCAGCTAAATCAGCACATTGCTATTTGGACAGGACAGGACTATACAATAATTGATATGTATTATATGAGTGTGAGCACTTAAATGAGCCTTGCATATTTCTACAATCCTCAGACTATACTATTATTCACAACGTCCGCAATCACAAGAAAATCTTTTTAAAAGATAAAAAACTTGCAAAGCACGAAATTTTCATCAAATTTTACCTCTTTCAAAATTAGGTGGCTAACCGTCTGATAGTTTTTCAAATTACACTTCCTGATCTGTCCACAAAGAGGATTGGGCCGGTTGTCCTGGGCATTTCTATCTTGAACAGACACATAAGCAAAAATATTAGGCGCCTTTGCATTGTTTTCTTCTGGAGGGGATAAGATTGAAGGTATCACCTAAAAGATTTAGAATTTATTAGCCAACAAGACAGCCATCATTTCCCTATATATAAAAATCCATGAAAATAAATAAATAAACACAGCAGTAGTTCCTAATCAACAATCACAAACAGATGGACTAAGCAATGAAAACATTCACCACAGCGATATTAAACCATTGTTTGAAGTTTAAACACTTAGAATTGTAATCTTTGTTACTTTAGCAGACCCAAAGAATCACCTAACATGTCCTAGTTTGCATTCTTAGTTCTTGGTTTTTAATCTTGAAAATTAAAAATATTATTTTTAAAATTCTGTTTTATTAATTTGAAATATTGAAAACCTTTCACTACCATCCTTACTGATTGATACATGAATCCTGGCGGGAACAACAATCCCCACTCTTTTACGCTATATTAGTTGAACGACCGCTGCAATTGGCAAAGTGGCAACAAGTTTTTATATCCTAGTATCAGTTTAGCTTACTTCTTTAAAGACATTTGAATTTTCAAAGTTATAAACTTTACTGAAAAGGGTTACCATGGAGAAAATGGGCAAATGAAGATCAAGTTTCTTGATTGATTCAGGAACGGAGAAGTCCCAGTAGCGAATGGTTCCATCGAGAGAAGAGGTCCAACAATAGCATAGAATCTTGGAAGCGGGAACGACGATGAGGGAGGTGACAGGTGCAGTGTGGCCTTCCAAAGAGGAAACGCGCAAGCCAGTGGAAGTGCTGAAGATGGAGACGGTGCAGCCACTGCAAACCAGAAGACGCTTCCCGTCGTTTGAGAACGCCGGAGCACAACCCACGTAGCTTTCCCCTCCTCTCATCATGCTATTGCTAGGGTTTCCGCGTTTTCCCGAACCAAACGGTGCGTTTTACCAGCAACTGAAACTTACACACAGAAAGAAACAATGGAGGCCCTGTCGACCGTTTTCGAAGTTTTTATACGGAACTAGGGTTTAATTTGGCTCTTATTTTGTTTTTTTAATACCAACCCTAGGCCCTTATTTCATTCCTAAATTATGTTTAATAATTTATTAATATATTATTATTGTTCTAGATTCCCATAAGAGAGAAAAATTTAACACAATCACATATAGCATCAAGAAAATTAATCCAACATTTTTAGAAATATTTTAGTCTACCAATTAATTTTTTGATGACATTTATCGCAAATTTTTTTTCTCACCATATTTTTAGCAATCATAATTTCAAGATAAATTGTTTTTTCCTCTACCAAATATCCATCTACTCCTAGGCTTGTCTGTTTAACAAGTAGAACAAGATTGAGCCTATTTTAAATTTTTGTAAAAAAATCAAGCCATGAGTCTATTTTGCAATGCCCACTTGTATTTTAAAATACATTTTTTTATTAATATTTATACATAATATCATTAATTGAATAAATACCCTCCATATAAGATGATGTACCTCCATAAATAATTTATAATTTATACATAATAACATTAATTGAATAAATTTTAAGGATTCAGATAAATTGCAAATATAATTTGTACGTTCAGTGCACATGCATCATTGAAGATGAGTTTGAATTTACAAATTGGACTACACACTTACATTTAAAAATATGAGGACTACCAAAATCACAAACTAGCCAACATTTATTTTTTATATATAATTTATTGAAAATAAAAATTTGCACATATATAATTTATTTTCCATATACAACTAATATTTAAGTGTATAATAACTCTAGAAAATAAGTTTTTACTATAGAATGGTGAGATTATTAAATAATGAAATTATACGGTTATAGGAAGGTAAAGAAAATTTCAAATCACCCTAACAATAATTTGGTTTAGATTATTTATCTTTTATTATTTCTGTGTGTATCTTTAGTGTCATATATCGTAAGTGCTTGAAATTTTAATATTATATATTATATATATAATATTATATTAAATTATAGAGTAAATACCCATTTTCGGTCCTCAGCAAATTTTACGATATCCGCTTTAGTCCCTGACAAATAAAAAGGCTATTCGTGGTTCCTAAGAAATTCAAAGTGGACCCATTCTAGTTCTTTTGAGAAACTAATATGGGTCTTTTTTGAATTTGTGAAGAACCACGATTTCAACTAAATGAGTTCATTTTGAATTTCTTAAGAACTACGAATAGCCTTTTTATTTGTTAGGGACTAAAGCGGACATCATGAGATTTGATGAGTACCAAAAAGTGAAAAAGAGTATTTACTCTAAATTATATTGTATATAATATTATATTATAATATATTATCTACACATGCTTGGAGAAATCGTTATCACTCATACACAGCAGAGTTGTTGAGAATGCAATCACCACATGATCATTTGTTGGTGATCAATAAACGTTTGAAAATGAAAATAGAGAGTCAACAACACCCTTATCTAATTTTCATCCTTCTTCCATGTTCTCTATGAAACCGCTAATCAATTACCAGTCATCATTAGTTTCCAAATCTGAATTTGATGTATGTGGTGGTATAAGGTAAACAGATCTCTCCTAATTATATGCATTATGCTCCAAATCTAGCTTCAGTCTAAAATCTCGAATTCACGCAACGATGTACTATAATCTTGTTCTTTTGAAGGCGAGGCAACTTTTTTATATGTACAAGAATCAAATATAAGCCAAACTTGAGAGGAGGACAAAGAGGAATTTGAATGGAGCATCTGACTAGAACTACAAAGGTTAGTTTCTCGATTACTATTTGAAGATGATAACTACTACGGGAATGATATGCGTCTTTGTGTGTGATTTGACCCTTCGCTATTTTCCTATTTTAGGAATTCATAGGGCACACAATATGCTTCGGAGATAACCCTGCTATCATGAGAAGGCACAGAAACAGAAACAACTCCGAGGTACAGAAACTAAAAAACACGACTAAAACTAGAACACAAGAACAAAACATTTGCCCAAGAGAACAACTTGATAATAATAGGATCACATGAACAAACTGTCAAATAATCGGACTCAACAGCAGGAGTTGAAAAATAACCATTGAATCAGATCAATGGATGTAGGTCAAAGAACTCTTTCACATATCAGACTCAGTTGTTCTACTCCACATGTAAATACAAAGGTATAAATATATTCAAAGCAAGAGTCTTCACACCTCACTTTTGATTAATCCTGCATAATGATACCCATTGCCAAGTTAAGATTCATACATTTCGAGGATAACAAATATTGCAAAGCAAAGGGAGCATTATTACCAGCCCAAGGCAAGTCAAACACTCTGTACTTTGTTTGATATTTCTTTGACTTTAATGTCTCCTTTTTCCTGCAGTCATTAAGCCTCAAATTGACTTTAATTATAAAAAAAAAAAGGGAAAAGTCCCCTGTTTAACATGATTTTTAGGTTCAAGTTGCAGCTTCTACAGTAACTTGCACATAAAGCATGGCAAACTTAACTTAAAAGGCTATTCATCTTTGAAAAACTCAAACAAAAGGTCCCTCTCGATTCTTCCTTCATCAAATAGCACAGTGGAAAGGATCCCTCCGATGAATATTAATTGTACATAACATAAAACCCACAATGTCAAGACCACAAGCTAAATTTTCTGAGTTCCTTCATTGTGACGTCACAAAAGCAAAGATACTCCTCTTGTTACATTAAATTTGATGCAACTCCACTTGGAAAAAAAAGGAAACAAAAAAATGCGCTGCCAAACCCCCTCATTAGCAAGTCAATACAAAACCTGTAATACTAATGCTCTCTGACACTCAACACAACTCAACTACTCCCAACAAATTTAAATTATTAGCGGAAACAAGTATACAACTTATATTTACTTTAGAGCCATTTAAATAGTCTTTCTAAAATGAGATTTTTTATTTATTTTTTATTTTTGTTTCCCAGGGTGTCCCTGGCCATTTGGATGAGACTAATCCCCTTCGTAGCATAAGGCGTGGAGATTTTTGCTACTAGCCCCAAGTTGGGGACGTGGCATAACTAGCAAACTACTGGTGCTTGTGATATCAGAATTCCACAGAGAAAAGGTTCTTATTGAAACAAAAGTTCACTAAAAAGAATATAAACTATTAGTCTAGAACTAGTTAAGTAGTCATGTCAAATCAAAGGGAACCACAACAAAACAAGTAGAAGAATATCCAATTCTAAAAGCATATAAACACTCCATCAACAACACCAAGCCAAATGAAAATTACTAAAAGCATATAAACACTAATCTTGCAAAAATTAGTATCCAATTAATTGCTCACCATTCCCTTGCTCTCGTAATAATCATCGAGAGCCCATTGATACTTTGACTGATTCAACCCAAACCAACGTGCCAAATGATCATCCAAACTTGAGTGGGCTGTAAAAGGAAAGGTAATGGGTATTTACTTAGAAAATAAACAAGAGAAATAATAATAATAAAAAAAAACCTCAACTAAAGACCAATAAAAAAGAGGGTAATATATGCTTACTCATAGATTTTTGCAAGAAATGCAAAACACCAGAAATAGACAGAGCACAACCTCAACCAGATTGAGACCATTCCGCGTGTAGGAATAATTACTTAGATCCGTTTATTTAAAAAATATCAGGCTTCTAATATCAAATATTCAGTACATCAAAAAAAAAAAAAAACTTGTTCGAGACTTATTTTTTTGTCAGCACGTAAAGAGAGCAAAATGGGTTTTGTCCAAAAGAGCAAACACTAAAAAGAATCCTAGAAACAAAAAAATAAAATAAAATAAAATCCCAGTAGACTCAGTCATAATAATAATTGTTGAGTTATATATATTTTTGGTTATCAAATCAAAGTGTATCTAAAAATAGAAAGCATAAATCAAGTAGTAAATTCAACAATCCATTTCAAAATTCAAATAATCTAAACGACTTAGACCAAGTCCAGGTCTAAGTTATTGAGTTATCTTTTTCTTTTATTTTTAATTGTGACTCATATCATTTTCAGACACACGCAATCTAAGCATGTATTGAGTAAAAGAGCAAAGCATGTACCAGTTTGCACTTTGGTAACAGCATTTCTGAAAAACCCCAAAAGGGACCCATCGGAGACGGGTTTCTCAGGAAGAACGGGCTTCTGAATCTGCGGCGGCGGAGGAGCGATCTTGTTCGGAGAATGAAGAACGACGGGGTCGGCGACGGCGGGCTTCGGAGTAGAAGGCGGCGTCATGAAAACGGTGTAAGGGCCGATTTTTCCTATCACAGGTGGCGGCGTCGTTTCGCTGTTGATAGACATTGCTGCAACCAATGAAAAATCAGAGAAAATCCGAAGCGATTTGATTGGAGAGTGTGAAGAAGAAGAAGAACAAAGAGTGAAAAGTGAAGAGTGAAGAGCGAAGGGAACCCAACCCCAAACCCAACACAGTACAACACAACAAAAACTAGTTGGACCTTTGTGTCTTCCTATCCTTTGTACTTTTGTTGTTTTGTTGTGCAAACACAATGTGCATTCTTTTCTTTCTCCCAACTCTACATTTTTTTATTTATCTATTTATTACTGCTTTACTTTACATTAAAGCGAAAAGCAATTCGCTTTTTTCGTTTTAGCTCTATATAATAAAGGCATTTACATAGTCATCTAAAAACTTCAATAAAATTCGCCATTACTTTTTAATTGAGAAATATAAAATATTTCATGAGATGATGATGCATCCATGGATCGTCCCCTACACAAACTAGCAGCTATGAGCTATTTACTCAGTTGATAATTTGAACATTATTTAAGTGGATTTCTTGATCGAATTTTTCTATGATATATAGCTTTCTTTTAAAAAAAAATTTGGGTTTAATGTTTTTATAAGAAATAAATTTATCTTCAATACACATATAAATCTGTATAGGACCCATATAAAAAAATAAAGAAAAAAAGAAAACATGAATCCCACATATTTTTATGTATATATAAGAGATAAATTTATCTCTTGTAACATGAAAAATATTATTTTTGTTTAATATTCCTTCTAACATATTATAAGAAAAAATATTACTTTTTTGTATTTTTATTTTTTTTTAAACTCAAATTATTCAATTATCATTAAAAATTTAATCACGTTATAAGCATCATTAGTTTTTTTTCTTTAAAATATACAAACAAATCGTTGTTAATTTTAAATTCAAAAAGATGGAGACACCTAGTAAGTTTACATAAATAAGTAAATAAAATAACAATAATAATAAGCAATTTGATAAAAATCCTCCCCAAGGTAAGTCTACTTATTATAATGTGTTACCTAGAGGTGTATATGAGATAAGTTAGATTAAGCTTTGATCTAAATAAATCAGATTTATGCAAAATATTTTGAATCTAACTTAACTTATTAGCCTCGCGTAGGCTATATTTAAAAAAAATATTACTTCATAGTTTAAAAAAAAAAAATTCACCAACTGCCCAATTCACTCCATGGGAGGCAGGTTAAAAATTTCAACCCAATCAGAGGTTAAACGTGTCAATTGTCAACCAACAACACATTGGACCATTTTACAACCTCAAGTCACTCCCGTTAGCATAGGGTACACCAACGTTAGTATAACTTATACCACGAGGAATACCCGCAACAGTTCTTTTGACCTATGTTAAGAAATCCAACAGAATCGCAATCACCCAGCATCAGCATGCCACCCCGGCCCACCGCGACAACGGCAAAAAAAAAAAAAAAAAAAAAAAAAAACTAGGTATTAACTGGCAGTAATCTACTCAATAAATAAACAATATACAAAGCTTTTAGGCATTCCTATGTAACAACGTTGATTTAGGCTTTCCATAAATGTCAGCTCACTCTTGTTCAAAAGCATATATTAATGAAAAAAATATATATCTTTCTGAAGGACATGAACTTGGGTCTTTTTTAACAGAGAAATAGACATAAAAAAAATGTAAATTCCATCTCTTTTTGTCTATCTCTCTAAAAGAACCTAAATCTATATGGAGACACATTTTTTCTTATATTAATAGTAAAGACGTCCGTAAAATATAATAGACCTAATAACGTGACTGAACATACATTTTTTCTTTTTTTCTCTCCTGTCGTGCTTTAAATTACAGAATTTGAAAGAAAAAAAACACATGGCAAATCAAGTGAGGAACTACCCTAATACATTACCACTACTAATCTAATCGGGAAGAATAATTCACTGTGGGTACTGAGGGGCAAAGTCTTACAACCTTACAAAAAACATTGTCTCATGTCACTGGTCGAGAAGTTCTTCTCGAGCCAGAACCAACCATACAAGCAAATGCATTGTAGAAACTACTTAATACACACGTTCTGACCAGAGCAATGCTTGTCAAGTTATCTATCAGTGACCAATAAGTCCTTCCCCGCCATCTTTTACTCAAGATGTTTTCACAACTTCATGCGGAGCCATATAGCATTCCATTCACTACAGCAGTGTTTATTCACTGGATCTAGATGACAGAACTTGCCAAAGAAAGTTCATGGAGCTCGCTAAGCATCCATTCTTCTCCAGTTTGACCACCCAGTACAATAGCTCTTGTCCCTCCAACAACACATGTACTATGTCCCCAAGCAAATCTCGGAGGGCATCCAGGTACATTAAGGACTCTCCATGTAGGGTTCTCATCGGTTGGATCAAGGATGTAAAGCTGAGAGGCAGAGTGAAGACCTGCAACAGACCCGCCAAATATCAAAATTCTCCCACCTGGAAGACTAACAGCCACATGATCAAGTCTAGGAGGAGGAGCTATGCCCCCAGGATTTCCAGCACCAGGCATTCCACTCCCTGTTACACATCTCCAGCAAGGTTCCTCCTCACTTAAATCCATCGTGAATACATCACTCGAACGAAAACGCAAGGGCCCACTCTTGGCCAGACCCCCAAACATCAGTATTTTCCTACCACCATAAACAGACAATGTGTGACCCAGACGAGAAGGCGGGGTCCATGCCACTGGTATCTCTCTCCAGACAGGCCTCTCCATTGACAAATCAAGGAGGAAAGTGTCACTCAAGAGTACTCCAGAGTCTGCACATCCCCCAGAAACTATCAACTTAGTACCATCTAGAGTACAGGAGCTATGCCATGATCTTGGAAGTGGAGGTGCCAATCCAGAAATTTCCCGCCAAGTTGGGGGCTTTGCATCAAGATCCAGAACAAACACATCGTTGAGCAAGCCCTGTCTTCCACAGCCTCCAAATACAACCAAAAGAGAACCATTAACACAAGAAAGCGTGTGGCCCCAACGACCAGGAGGAGGAGAGCCTACCTGGACGTGTTGCCACTCAGGATTACTAGAATTGAGATCCAATACAAATGTGTCATTCATAGGTTGCATGTTAACCCCTTCACCACCAAATAGAACAACTCTATTACCAACTGCACAAGCACTAAAATTACAGCGTGAGGGTTCAACAGCACCTCCAACAGTCAACTTACTCCATGCTGCTGCTTCAAGAGTGGTCAATTCCCTTGCTAGCCGAACCCATCCAAGTCTCCTTGCCCCGGGCACAGTCTCTAAAACACGTGTGGTCTCACTGCCCCATGCATTTTGGCACACCATTCTCCAAAGGTCTTCATTTTTTGTCAGCTCATACAATAGCCTAGAGACAGAGCTAATAGATGCAATATCTCTAGGAGTTAATCGAGCAAGTATCTTGAGAGAGAGTACCTCATCACTCAATTGCAATATCCCACAAATTCCACGAGATACATTCCGATCCCCCACTGGAAGAGGTTGCAATGAGGATAGCACAGAACGAAATCGATCAAATGATTTAGCAGATTCCTTAATTGTAGAACCCATAACAGGGCCAAGATCAATGTTTGCCTCAGTGAAGAACTGGATTCCAATGACATGTGTTATAGTCTCATCATCTCCATATATAGGTGTCAGCCGCAACCTGTTCATCAGCGGAGATCCATCTTTCCTGAAGTTCAACAATTCACCTTGGAATTCAATCCCCTCTTTAAGGCATCTTCTAATTTCTGAAACTACTGTTGAGTCCACCAACGGATGCCTTCTCTTGGCATACGGACCTCGACACTGCAAGAAGCGGCTGCAAGATATTTTGATATGATTAAAACAAAACCACATTGGATCAGAAATACCAAGCAATAGACTGATAGAGACTCAAGCGAGTAACAGATGTGCTAAAGGGCCAGCAAATATTGCTTGTTTACTCATATGGAATGCTTTTCCGCTTTCTTTTCTTTCCTTTATTTCCCAAAGGCAGTAAAAGATTACTCACTCTACATCCTAAAAACAATAACTTCAAGGCGAATACTTCTCTTTGGTAGATTAGAGATATATGGGAAAGTATCCATCAGAGACACTTGTCCCATAAACAAGAGCCTGAAGTCTCAAAGAAAGGGGAGAAGGAAAGAAATGATAAACTTTAAGCAGATCCAAAATCCTGTTCTAATATGGAGAATTGGAATCAATCATTTATATTTTTCTAACTAATAGTACATAACATAACAATTTTAGAGCTGTCTTCCTTTTAAAAGGGAAGAATAAAAAAAGTGAGCATCACGTAGGTGCCCCGACTTAATCCTATTGAGAATTGGAGACCATCCCAATAAATACGGACAATTGTAGTGATCCTGCTATGCAAAAGCTATGCTAGATGTTCTCATTTGGTATAAATCTTTGTTATTGGACTCTGCTATTAAAACATTTAGTGTTTTCCATTATCCATACAAGTCCAAGAAGTTGCTTTACATAGAAATATGCTTTGTTTGCATTGTTGGACACCACAAAAAAAATTCCCCAAATGGGTCTACGCAGAGGAAGATTCAAAGGCATAATTTAATATAGTGAAGATACCATACTTAAGGAAATAATAAGTGTAAGTGTGTAACACACTTATAACATTATGCATTTAATCACATCACAACCAATCACAAATACCATTGTCTTAAATCAGTTGCAAGCAACCATAACAGTAAATGTAAACACATCACTGCCCCCACAAAAATGAAGAAATTATAATGCAGACAATTACTGCAAGCAGCGGGAGAATATGAAACATACAAGAATACCAGACTAGTAGTTGGTAGGTCATAAGGAAGTCCCAGAAGGTTGTAATGAATGTGAACCCCCCCCCCCCCCCCCCTTCTCTCTCTCTTCTTTCTCTCCTTTTGCTTTCTAATTCATCATGACATTCACTAGCAACTTCTACTTTGATGAAGACCAATATGGATTCTAATGTAATTAAACCTGAACCAGTGCAATTGGATTTGAAATGCTAACCACCCACTTAAAATTTCAGAAGCCAAGGTCAAGAAACCTGACATGCATCAACCAACATATGTTGGCCAACTGATTCAAATTTTAAAATTTCACTAAGTGGCAGCTTGCATATATTAATTTCACTGAAGTAGAATAAGGCCTTCACCACCTGCAGAGGCTGTCAACAAAGTACGGTAATGGACCTTCTAAATGGAGGAATGAGCTCCTCCCCATGAAAAGTCATATGTTCAGTGATCAAAAATAAAAATTAACAGTTCATCAGAAAATATTAATGAGAGCATCCTACAACCCTAAATTCCATTGTCAAAACCTGTTGCACAGTGCACACCATTTGTAAGTATTAGTCATTCAGAATCTTTCAATACACAAAGCAGCCAGCGGCCTTTAGATTCCTAACCCTATCTTCAATGAAAAAAGACTAGAAAATAATGAGAATCTCTCAATACATAGACTTGGTACAAGGCTTTATTCCGAAAAGCTATCTGGAATGACCATATTTGCAATGTCAACTATCTCTTTTTAATTAGCACTAAAATAATTCATAGTTATCGAACAGTGGAGTTTCAGAATTCAGTATGAATCAAAAAGCTTCTAGCACATTTGGTAAAAAAGGACCGTTGCTCGATATCTTATCATGTTCCCTATTAGTTTAATTTTTCCTAATCCCTTGAGCACCAACATGGTAACGCAATTAGTCACCTTTTACGCGATCTGTCACAGTTAGACTTGATCAGTGGCGGACCCAGAATTTTTTTTTTATGTCTGCACATTTAGACTTGATTAGTCACCTTTTATGTTATGCAAATTTAAAAAAAATAAATCTGCCCCCGAAGATTTTTTTTAAAGAAAATTTTAAATGTATTAAAAAATATATAAACAATAAAAGAAAACTTTAACTTAACATACAAAAAATAATGATAAAAAATCCACCTCTGTTGATGTCTATTTGATCCAAAGTTGGCCACTTTTGCTTCACAAAAAAACGTGAAAAATCCCGTACGATTCTCCTCCACTTGATGAAGATTGAATTTCCGGAATCATCGATGTCTATTAAGGTTTGGAGCTAATAAGGTTTATGTTTTAAAAAAAGAAGAAAAGACAAAGCAATGGGGTAGGGTTTAAGCTTTAAGCTTTTAATTATAGGGATTGGTTGGGTTGGGCCTATGTTAGTTAAAATCCCGATTTAAATCTGTGATTTTATGATTTTACGATTTTGTTTAATCAAAACGATTTTATCAAAATTCCAAACACTTTTACAATTTTATGATTTTTTATCCTCCTTCTAATTTTAGGTAAGATCCCAATTTTAACTACCATGATTGGGCCCATGTTTACTTTTTTTTTTCAATCTTCCTAAATCTTTTTTTTTTTTTACTTACCTAAATCACCCACCCCTTTAAAAAAAAAAAATGTTTTGTGTCTGCATGTGCAGACATAGGCACTAGTGTCAGTCCGCCACTGGACTTGATGATATCCATAATACCAATGATTTTTTCATCAAGATTTTCATAATTTCTCGGGTATTTTCAACATTATTACCTTAGTGTTTCCTGACACAGACCTCATCATATACTTCTAATTGACTTAATCCTGACCAGAGCAGGAAATGTATGGAATCTAACATGTTATACACCCCTGCCTGCGGCATCAACAATGACAAAATTGATCACTTTTAAATATGCCCTAAAATATCTAAAAATAATACTTACAAGCTCCAAACAGAATCGAAGCAATGCTTATTTCCAATGAAATCATCAAGGGAGAAACCTGAACATGCACTAACAATCTTTTCTATTACTAACCCACAAAGAGGATAGGACATTAATACTAAAACTTTGCTGACAATAAATAATATACTTTCAGTTTCAGATCATGGATACAGAAAGTAAAAGTCACCAGGACACTTTTGATACCCAGAGCATCTTCCCGCCTTCAGATTCCCAGCCCTTCACCCAGCAGCGTAAAAATGTAATAAGGTTTGCTCAATACAAAGAAACAATAAAATTCCTAAAAGCTATCTGGACTACAGGAATGACCAAATATACATGTTCAATCTCCCTCATTAATTGGCACTCAATAGTCAAAACTAAACATCTTTCACAGGTTACATGATAGTAAAAGTTCGAAAACTGAATACCAATAAAAAAAAGTGTCTAAACTAAACAATTAAAAAAAAATAAGTTTGTAACAATATATAGTAACCTCCATTTGGTAACATGTAATTTCACTTTCTCCTAAAAGCCACCAGTGAGCCCTTGAGCGCCAAAATAGCAATTTGTAAGTTAAGCCAGGGAGGGGCCAAGCCTCCCTGCTGACCCCTTCTCTATTTGAACCCTTCTCACCCCTACACTCCTTAAGTCTTAACCAATGTTTCTTTTCATGTGCTGCCCCTCTCACCCTTATTTTTACTTCTTCATCCTTCCCCCTCCTCATCTTTACTTGTCCCTACTCATAATAGCAACAAAATCACCTCCTATTCCTATGGATAATCAAAATAGTTAAGAACAGAGTCTTCCCTACCAAAATTCATTTCAAAATCGCAACACGCTCTTTATTGACTTACAAACCTGCCTCCTCACAGCACACACGGGGTATAGGAATGCCAATCAAATTCAAGACCTAAACCTAAACCTAGCATGTGATCGAAGCATTGAAATTGAGTGGAAAAAAAGTAGTGGTAGAGACTAACCAGTTGTGACCTAGGACATCCTCGGCACGGTAGCCGGTGACCATCTCGAAGACGGTGTTGACGTATATGATAGGGTGATCGGGCTCGAGAGCATCGGTGACGACGAAGCCACACGGCGACGTTTGGAGAAGGTTCTCGAAGGGGAAAGGGAAAGGGAAAGGACAATCGGCATCATTGTTGAGGACGAACACTTCCTCCTCGTCGTCTCCGCTTAGATCGGAATCGCTATCCCACTCCATTTCCAAAATCTCCCTTTCTTTCTTCTTCAACCCATACACAATGACATGAACGAATCAACCAGAATCAGTAACACCAGAAAGGAGTAGCACTAGAACAAGAACAAGAACGAAGCGAAGAAAGAGAGGGTGAGGCATAAAAACGAGTGGCGCAAAATAAACAGGTTCTTTCTTCCACATACAATACAATACACAATACAAGCACCACGCCCTTTGGTTTTAGTTAGTTCAAAAGAAAAGAAAAAAATCTGGTTTCGGTTAGGTTTCTTCAATTTTTCGTTTGGACACTTAAACCCTTTATATAGACACCGCCCTGCCCTTTGATTTTTTTCGTCGGATATATGCTTGTAAAATTATAATGTATTTATTAATATAGGGAAACATTATTTAATAAATTTGTTTTAAAAATTTTAAATGTTACACACATCATTTTTTTTTTCTTTTTTGGGGCACATGATTTTCTTACATTAATATTTCATCCGAATCGATTTTTGTTGATGAAAATTTTTAGTATTTTTGGCATAAATAGGCATGCATGTCACTTTGTGCACGCGCCTTATTGGACCATTCCATGTGCTTGGCGCCCCCCTCCCTCGTTTTTTTCTAATAGTTTTTCTATACTCTCCTCTTTTGTCTTCACTCTATTAACTTTTTTTGTGGAGGGAGAATTAATTGAGATAATTCACTAATTATCTCAATTAATGGGTAGAGGAAAAATATAATTATTGGAAAAAATAGTAGGAAATTCAGCTTGATAAAAAAGTTTTAAAAAAGATGTTTGGTTGACCGAAATATTACCGGGTAAATTTATTTTAATTTGCAAAATTTATGTTTGGGAGGAAATTCGTTCTAGTTTTTTTACTTTCTCATTTATCTCAAAATATTATATCTCAAGTGATATTTTGTAACAGTAAATTTCACCCAAAAATCAATACCAAAGTCATTTACTAGCCTCCCTATTTGTCTAGTATTTTTTTTCAAAAACTTGAACTAAACATGATATTTTCAAATATTTACTCACACTTTCCCATCAAACCCAAAATAAAACTTGTACCAAACACACCATAAATAAAATAGTAATGATGATGATAAAGTATTTAGGTTGTGAAGTTTGACATGACAAATTTTTACTCTTTTAAGCTTTTGAATAACTAAAATGCTTAAAGTGCGGATTTAGCGAGGATTCAAGGAAAAAGTTGCCATGAACGAGTCATCCTAACATGTGCCCATAAGGAGATTTCGTGCAGTGTGTGTGAATGCAAATGTAATTCTCATTGAGTCCGAAAGTTCCACGTTTGGTAGTAAAAAGCATAGGGCTGCACAGGAAACAAAATGTACTTTTCCCTTGTATTGCCTTGTAATGTAACTACTTTGCGTGGTTTAAGGCAACGTGATTAAGTGATCATAAATTTGACTCTTATTGTTTTTATTATAATAATTAAATATTATGAATTTTTTTAATAATACATTATTCATCTTTCAAATCAATCCAATGAGCTCTGATGAAAGACATTGAATTAGAGAAATATAAAATACTTTAAACTTAAGCTTTTGAATTAAAATGATTCATACCCTAATTTTTTGAAACTTGGAAACACAATGTCTATTAAAACCGATACAAACATTATATCTAAAGGGACCATTGACCCGGCTCTTTAACTCATTGAGGTTTTAATTTATTAATGTGTTATTTGATTCACGGTATTTATCAACGAGGGTCAGTTAATGACGCAAGGAGACCGAGCATCACTGAGTGCCGCGACTTCCCCCGTTTCATTCACACATTTTTTCAATTGAGTGACGTCCTTCCTCCTGTGGGGCACTCATAGGATTGTGCCAAGTGGCACAATCTCATTAATATTGTTATCGTAAAACTTCGGAATGCCATAACTTTTGACTCGGGTATGCAAATCAGATGATTTTTTTTTTATTTCACATAACTTTTCGAGATCTACGCAATGATACCTCATTCGACATATTTTATCTTTCATTAACATAGTTCAAATTTGCAACAATAGTTCCATTTTTTTTTACAAATTTAAACTATGTTTGTGAAGGATAAATATGCCAAATGAGGTGTCATTACGTAGATCTTGAAAAGTTATGTGAAATAAAAAAATTATCTGATTTGGATACCCAAGTCAAAAGTTATGGCTTTCTGAAATTTTACAGTAACATGACTAACGATATTGTACCACTTGGCACAATCCTATGAATGCCCCAGAGGAGGGGCGTGACTCAATTGAAAATAAAATAAAAAAATGTGTGAGTAACGCGGAGAAGGGTCATGACACTCAGTGCCACTGGGTCCTATCACATCACCCTATTGATAAATAATATGAATCAAATATCGGGAAAAACACCATTTTAAAATTTTTGAGCAAAAGAATTGCCCAGTTAAAGTTGATTGGATAAGTTTTTCCAAAGTAATGTAGTCAAACATGTCACATATGCTGACGAGACTAGTCTCGTCACTGACACTGACCGGACTCGTGTCACGTCAGCACCACGTAGGCAGTTTTGTTACCATAAAACTTCAGAAGACCATAACTTGTGACTCAGGTATCCAAATCAGATGATTTTTTTTTATTTCACATAAATTTTCGAGATCTACGCAATGACACCTAATTTTACATATTTTATCTCTCACAAACATAATTTGAATTAGTAACAATTGTACCACAATCACGCGTTCAAATCCAGAAGATCTTCAAACTATGTTTGTGAGAGATAAAATATGTAAAATTAGGTGTCATTGCGTAGATCTCGAAAATTTATGTGAAATAAAAAAAAATCATCTGATTTGGATACCCGAGTCACAAGTTATGACCTTCCGAAGTTTTACGATAATGAGACTGCCTACGTGGCGTTGACATGGCACGAGTCCCGTCAGTCTCTGTGACGAGACTAGTCCCGTCAGCATATGTGACATGTTTGATTGCATTACTTTGAAAAAACTTATCCAATCAACTTTAACTGACCAATTCTTTTACTCAAAATTTTTAAAATGGTGCTTTAGCCATCAAATATCATATTCAAAAATTAAAGGAATAAAAATTCCAAATGGGTCAAAGAGCACATTGAACCATCTTCACCAAAGCCTCCAAATTATGCCTTCTGGATCAACTGGCACCTCCATTATGAATGTGTCGTGCCAAATTTCCTTCTCTACTATGCTTTCGATGTCAGTACTTATGGCAATGGTTTTACATTTATATCAAACAAGTTGAAAACTACGCTATCAGATTTACGTATTTATTATTAGGAAAAAGTGTTTGTCTTTTAAATGACACAATTTGTGTCATTTCACTCTCACAAAGAGGTGAGATCCACACCTTTATATTTTTTTGTCAACTCTCTTTCGTCTTTTATCTATTTCTTTCTTTCACTTAAAATAACACAACTTTGCATCTTTTAAAATGATACACACTTTTCCCTTATTATTATCCTTCATCTGGATAACTATGTGCAATGATGCAAGTGTTATTAAAGACACAAATAGTATGCGAGAAAGTAGATCTGAGATGGAAACAGAGGAGGATGGCGCGCGTGGAGCGCGTGAGAGAATGGTGGAGGAGGAAGACTTGATCCTGAGAGGTTTGAAGAAAGCGAAAGGTGAGGCTATGGCTGATGTGAGCATGGATGATGAGATGCTCGATAAGCAGGAGGCTGGTGACAGTGAGGGTGCCAAATCTTCCTTCCCGGAGAAGGTGGTGCTCATGCATGAAGTGCCTGATAAGAAGTTTATCTCTTACAGAGACAAGCTAATCAGGTTAAATGGAGGTGACAACATATCAGAGACTGACGAAGATGACTGGAAAGAGGTCCAGCGTAGGGAGGAAGAGGAAGATGGTGCTGAGGAGGTTCTGATCCAAGGTGCTGAGGATGATCCTCTTTGCCCATCGCTGCAATTTTCCAAGAGTCAGCATAAGGAAGACTGTCGTCAATGGAGGAAAGCCCTAATCATCAAGCTATTGGGGAAAAGGATTGGTGCGAGGTTCCTAATGGCTCGGTTACAGAGGCTGTGGAATCTGGTATCAACGTATGAATTGATTGATCTGGATAATGGTCATCTCCTGCTGAGATTCCAGGATGAGGGAGATTATCGGCATGTGCTGGAGGAGGGACCGTGGATTGTCGCGGATCATTATGTTGTGATCCAGAGATGGCGTCCATTTTTTGACCCTTATGATGATGGGTTTAAGAAACTGGCCGTATGGATAAGGGTTCCTGGTCTCCCTATTGAATTCTATACTGCTCAGTACCTATGGAAGATTGGGAACCTGTTTGGAAGGACTCTGAAAGTGGATAGAAATTCACTTCGCAGAAGTGAGTTTGGTGATAATGTCATTACAGAGAGAGCAAAGTTTGCTCGAATCTGTGTGGAGGTGGACCTAAGAAGAAGCTTCTTGTCGAAGTTCAAGATTGGGGAAAAGGTTTACCAAGTGGGTTACGAAGGTTTACATTTAATTTGCTTCAGGTGTGGCATGTATGGCCACAGGAGTGATCAGTGTGTGGACAACCAGCTTAGGGACCAGGGTCAACAGTTGGGTTCTGCACCAGGGATCCAGAATCCTAAGGAGGGAAAAGCAATTGATAGTGCTAGGGAGAAAGGGAAAGAGGAAGAAGCGTTCGGCAGCTGGATGGTTATCCAGAGATTTAAAAGAGGGGGGAAAGCCAAAGTTGTGCCAATGAAAAAGGTGGTTGGTGTGAATGAGGATCCTGGGGTAGTCACGGTGAATCAGGATGCTGAGAAAGTTGAGGCCACTATGGGAGAGGCTAGGATTGATATCCCGAGTGTTAATATTACTGTCATCAAGGAAGAGGCTACTATAGTTCAAAATCCCATTGGTGCTCCTAGTAGGGGTTCTGAGATTATAGAGGGTGGTCTATCTACTAAGGGGGACACTCCTGGTAACTCCAGTCCTTGCCCTTCCCTTCAGATCAATAAATTGGATGCTGGTAGACAGAAGAAAAGTGTGCTTAAGGAGAACAGGAGCAAAAATGGAACTGGTGGTGTGAAGAATAGTAAAGGTGGGTCTCAGAAAAAAGGTGAGATGGAGAATATGCCACCTAATGTTTTGGTGGGCGCCCCTGATTCTGGGCATAAACAGAATAGCAGAAACAAAGATCTGCCAATGGGATGTGGTAGTCCAATGGATGAATCTCAACAAGCTAAGGTCAAAGGGAAAGGAGTGGGGTTAGCTGCTGTGTCTAGAGAGGTCCATATGGTGCAGGTGGATCAGGTGCGTGAGTT